ACAACACACCAACTGAGCAGGCATATCGTGTTTCAATACAGCCGTTTACAAAACTACACACCAACTGTGCAGGCATACCATGTTTCAACACAGCCGTTTACAAAACAACACACCAACTGTGCAGGCATATCATGTTTCAACATTGCCGTTTACAAAACAACACACCAACTGAGCAGGCATATCATGTTTCAACACAGCCGTTTACAAAACAACACACCAACTGAGCAGGCATATCGTGTTTCAATACAGTCGTTTACAAAACAACACACCAACTGAGCAGGCACATCATGTTTTAATACATCCGTTCAAAAAACAACACACCAACTGTGCAGGCATACCATTTTTCAATGCTGCCTTTCAAAAAACTTCACACCAACTTTGCTACATTGATATTTTCAATTTAACATGATATTGACCTCGAAATGTGTTTAAATACCCAATTCAACCATTTTCCGCCACCAATATTTGTGTAACCCATATATTGTATTATCACAATAACATGGTAGTCAATAATATTTATGCTAGTTATTTTTATATTTTGGAGAAAAAAATGAATACGTTACTTCACAAATCGCATGTCACCATATTTCACCTATATTACAATATATTTTGTGCAACGGAAGATTAATAATTAGAATGCACACATACAATAGTAAGCGTGTGTGCTTCTATTGTGGTAAGCATTTGGGTGTGATGACTAGTATGTCAAAGGTTGCATTATTTAACACTTCGATTGGCAGATCTATCATTTATAGTGTTTGGCATGAATATTTACGAGCATAGGATGGCATCAGATGCTGTGGATTAGATTTACTTTGCTAGGATTCAGGGATGGGGTGATTTAAAACAGCAGAAATTTGAAGTTCGAAACTACACGACATTTTTAGTAGATTTCCCATTTTACAATATATGTACGATACCAAATATTCACGCGTTATACTTCTGTGTGTGCATCCTTTCGAAATATGCCTCATTCCTGAAATTTCCATTCGCACTAATGTATGCAAATTTACTTCAATATTCGTCATAAAAATATTTTCATAATAAAATGTTTACTTGCAAACACCAGTGGCATGTTGGAGACGTTAAAACAATTGAATTATTATTATGATCTCGCTTTTTTATTAGCATTATAATTGACCTCTAACATCACTGAAATAAACTAGAGAAATGTTGTGACGAAAGCAAACTAAATGTTAATGTCAGCAATACACATTTTTTTATATTCGAAAAGGTAGGTCAATTTGCATACTATAGGGAGATTGTTGTATAATGCAGCTTTGCATAAAGTCTCACACACAACAATGCAGAAATGTTTTCCGATCCCAGAAATGTCAGGAAATGTCTTCTTTCAATAAAAATTTGGGAAGGTTTGGTATCAGTTTAAACAGCCTTAGCCTAATTTGAAGCTAAAATGTTGCCTTTGTAATGTATGGTCAGTTTTGCATTGAATAGCGCAGTAATATTCAGTTACACAGAAACTAAACGTGGTGTGGTGATTGATTGTACAACCATATAGAGGGTGTAAACTTCCCATCCCTGAACGGGGATGAAAATCGATAAATGCGTAACGTTTGCTGATGACACTAAATTGATAATTAATAAATAAATTAATATTACCTATTTTGATACTTATCATGTACAGCACATGAAATACATTATAGTTGATTTCACCATTTCACTGAATACAAGCATAGTAAATCTATTATATACCAGTTGATGCCATCCGTGTGAATAGTCCTGCCAAACACAATAAGTATATCCTATTTGGCACCACCAAAGCACGTACGCAGACTATTAAAGTGTTAAATCGTGTATAATCTTTGACATACTAGTTACCACACAAGCACACATGCTTACTATTGTTTGTGTGTATCTTTATTATTAATATTTTCATTGCAATATAGCCAGATACAGGCATCAGGCATTCTAGGCGCATCTTAGAGATCACAGAGAATATGCGACTGAAATAAATATAATACATTCAACATTCTGCATTTCACCCCAGAATTTACATTGGTAGATTGTCGAAGTAGCACCAATCATGCAAGTGTTCAATATCCAGGTAATGTTCTTACTGTTTTCTCACTATCACCATTTCAGGAATGAGAAGGATTTCGAAAGGGTGCACAGAAGTTGAAAGCGTGAACACTTTATATTGTACATGTATTATAAAATGGCAAATCTACTAAAAGGAAATACAGTCCTGGCGTTTCAGGGCGTGCACTCATGCGCAGATTGACACAACCTGAAGACTGGTATCACAGAGAATAGAAATTGTGAAATTTCGTCATAAATGCGTAAAATCTGGAAAAATATATGATTTATATGTAATCGGACAACATTTTGCGATAGTTCAGTGTCTTATAAGCACTCGTAACTGGTTTGGATAAGTATTTTGTATTTTGAGTGTGATTTTCGGCAGATAGAAAATGTGTGCACATTTT